CCCAGTAAAGGCAAGCCCACACCTAGATACGCCCGCTCACTGCATTGTTTTATACTTAACTGTTTCATTGTAAATTGTTGTTGCAAGAGAAGGAGTACTTAAAATATGAAACAAAGTAGATATTGTTCAAATTCGGTTTACATCAAATGCAAGCCAGCAACTATAGGTTAAACAACTTATAGGCCAATTCAGCTATAGGTTAAACCAGAGGTTGATCAAGTTATAGCTGTCCATGATGATTAGGCTAAGCACAAATTGCAAAATCCATCCTAAAATAAGGGACAAAAATTTTACTAAGATAAACACACTAATTCAACCAACTTAATATAAAATACTACAGCAACATGCTACAAATGCAAAAAACAAGTACAAAATACTAAGTCTATAACACTAGACTAAAAAAAAACTACTAAGTCATAACAAGTGTCAGTCAAATGTATAAAAAGTATTCTTAAACTACTTCCAAGTCAAAGGTCCGACATAAATAACAATTAAACACATTGCAACGGAAGCGAAACATTTTGTGAGACTCTCCCAATGTAGTATAATACTTAAGAATTGAGTGGTTATACAGTATTTGCTTGTCTAACAACCATTGAATGTGATCAGCACTTCGCCGGTTTGATCTATAACTGGATTTTTGATTAATAAATGATCCTGGATCAAGAAACTGACGATCCAATCAGTAAAAACCTCATCACACTCTATTTTACACTCAACAAACGATTTAAAGTTAGTTTTTTCACTAATTCTGAATTCTGCACCAGTTTAAATGTACGCACATAGTAAGTCTCTGTTTTAGTTAAGTGTTTTAGCAGTTTTTATGAAAATTTTAGACAATTTACTCTTTTAAAAATTTACAACACAAATCCTTGACAGTGCTAAATGTTGGAGACTTGACTTAATATGCAGCGAAGTTTGTGAGAACTTCCATACGTCAGTCCGGTGAAGTAGTTCGTGCGCCAACCGCGACTTTCAACTTTATATAATATCAGAATGTATTTCTATGGCCCGTCAAGCACAATAGATGAATACGATTCTTCAAATACCGTCCGTAACAAGAGAAATGAATCAACCGAATCGCGTTAGGTAACACAAAACGTGCCATAACGTACTGAACGACTAATTGAAGAAAAGCAGCTTATGTTGAATGGAAACGTGCGTGGTTAATAATCCCTTGTCATTATCGGCCAATGCGGAACTTTCCCTGTATAACTACGGAACCAATTAGACGCGAAACCTCAACAGCTGTTAACAATAGAGACATCAGCTGACCGATGTTTTACAGCTGACCGTGATGGTTAGCGCCAGACAAAAGGCGATGTAATTTCTGGTAATCCAGTGAATTTCTCCCCACAAACAGTATGGCTGTAACTCTCGTCTGAAAAAGGACGTAAGTAGTAGGTATTAAATTTGACTCGCGAAATAGCAGTCGAATGATTTCCTGGTGTGCTGAGAAAGCTGTAATTGCCGAGGTTTCTGCTAATAGTTTAAGCGCTTCTGTTTTAGGCTCGATGTATTCTTTTAGACGCCGTTACTACCCGGAGAACAATAGCACTATAGATAATTCCTGTAGTTTTCTAAACGGAATGATTTCCTGTATTCCTTCCGACAGTTCCAAGTTGACTGGACATCCGTAAAACTGAATTAGTAAGAATTCTGAATTACCAAATGTCTTCTAGTTTGATTGATATGATACAAAGAATTATTGGATGACCTAAAACGCAGCATTACCGGTTTTATCAATAATTAGGGCTTCTATGAGCCCTGAATATTCATATACATATTCACACAACCATATAAATGCTTCGTAGTAGTTTTGCTGTTTAGTTTATCCTGTATTACCGAATATTAGACAGTTCTGAATCAGCTACCGCAGCTTTCGGTTTCAGATATAAATGGTTTGAAAAAATGCATTGACGAACTCTGAAATAGCAAGAGCTATTCATGAGATCGTTATTTTGATTTGTTTAACCTTATTAAATATTGAGTTTTTATTATCAAGACTTTTGCCTTTTGATGTATCTAGTTTTTGCTGTGTCACTTGAGATTGTATAGTTCACAGGTCAATCCTCGAACTACTGTCTGTTCTAACGGGCTCTTATGGTTCAGTTTTGAATTACCAGTGTGTATAAATCGAACTTTGGAGGAACAAGAAATGAAATTGCCAATGCTTTGAAGTTATTGACATTTTTTACTAATAATAAGATGAATGGTCAAAAATAAACAAGTATAGGCTTTCTTTGTTGGCTATCGAACGACATATATTTTCAAAAAAACCCCGTCATGTCTTTCTCAGCTCCTTGCAAAATATCGAATCATGAAGCCGTGCCCGAACACTTTACAGATCTTCTCGAAATGCCAGTTGCATCATGGTAGTGACTCGGTATTTCACACTTTTCCATCATTTGACACTTCGTGCATGATTTTGCCAAACCTCAACTAGTGGTTTCCAAGATAACCTCTGCATAGAGGCTGTGTGCCACTTCCACGATAAGTGAGAAAATTGACGCAATCATGATAACAGTCATACCAAATTGGAAGAGTCGGGTTTGTCTAACCACTGTCATCTTCGACTGTCAGTGACCTCAGGAATTGCATCACTAATGCTTGTTGACATGTCTTGTTACTTCATATGTTGATGTTGTATACTGTTATTTATAGGTAATGTTTATAGAGGTTCAAAAGTTCAACACTTTATGATGTGCTCTTTCAATTCGTGATATCAAATCCATCTATTATATTGCAAAGGGTTTTTCTGTGTGGGGGGGTTGTTCCGGGGTTGAGGCTGGAGTAACTTCTGTCATAGACTAAGCAACACAAGGGAGTATGTTTTATATATGCTTCTGTAAAGGCTGAAACTTTACAAAAAGTTAGTCTCTGAACTTAGCGAAAATTTATTTATCTGCCTATTCATGTAGAGTATTTGAAATCATTTAAAGTAAAGGCTGAAACTTCTCAAAAAGTTAGTCTCTGAACCTAGCGAAAATATATTTATGTGCCTTCATGTACAGTATTTGAAATCATTAAGTAATAAAATCAGTTACTCATGTTTGTTTATGCTGCATAATTTTTCAGAGTAGGCAATATTTAGTTTTTAGGAGCGTCGGAGTCGAGAGTTCAGTCCTTTATCGCTTTATCATATATCATGTACACACACCACACTAATTTTACCTCTCAATCCTTCACTCATTTTTAAGTATAAAATATGTAGGGTAACATTGTGTCTTTTTCAATGCAATAATAATTATGACCATGAGGATAATGATCACTACGCTGAAGTTGATAACTCCACAACAGAACAAATTTTCAATGTACGGAAATTTGATAACTTATAAGAAATTTAAAATAATTTTGACCACTACAAAATTACAATCTCTTAACCATCAACTCGGAAAGTCAGACAAATATCAACACTTTACCACATCAATAGCTGTCCTCCTAGTGGATCGCACCTATCAGATAATTCGATAACCTACAATTCCGAGCGCCAACCTTTGAATGGAAGCTGAGGGGGTAATTATAGGCTGATAGAGGTGAGATTGAGATGAGCGTGTGATAGCGTACCTCACCTGTTCTGCAATGTACTGCCCTCGTGATGTAATGAACTGTAATGTGTGGAATTACCTCCTTATCTGGGAAGTAAAGCCACATTACAAACCAGTGGCTATTGCTCTCCCTGGTAGCAATTTAAGTGCAATACGCACTGATGTGGGATTTAAACATGGTTAATATTAGTCATGAAGCTACTTCAGTAGCTTCATTAACATTTATGATGTTGGATTAGTATGGTTTAGGTATTAGTTAAGCGTCATATAAGATTTACGTTTTTGCATCTCATTTAAATAAGCCTTAGGATATTTTCATAGACTTTGAATGATGAAAGTAGACTTTTCTTCCTATAGCAACTTCTCCAGAATGTTTTTTGCATGAGTGATTTGAAAACCATTGACATTTATAGGGGAGATTGCATACCATGATTTTGTTTTTATCTAATGTGAACCTTATGTTAGATACCGCCATGGATCTAATGACAAATTGGCACCTCGGTCCAGAAATTGCCTCGATCATTATTGTGTCTCTTGTACACAGTACGTTTTCTGTGCTCTTGTATGTGTTAGATTTTCATGTTCGCGTAACAAAGTTCCTCCGTCTTTTATTTGCTTTACTGGCTTTACTTATCTCTGTCTGACTTTCGTTTCTACGCTTCCTCTATATCTAACTTGATGTCCCCAGAGGTAAGAAACACTGTTAAAATTTGTTTATTTTATTATATACACGATAACTAGAGTCATTTTGGTCTGTCTTTGACAACATAAAAGTTTAGGGTGGTATAAACTTGAATGAGTTTGCGAACCAACAAGAGAAGACTATGGATGGTGTTAGCCTATGGGGTCTGATTTGTACTTTATTCCCCCCCCCCCCTTAAACATAAAAATATGCAATTCTCACTGCAATCCTCGTTTAGAGCTTAAAAACAAACATCTTTTTATTGAAACATTGTTGTACGATTGAAGGTTAGGAAAATTTAAAAAAATAACGTTTAAACATTGTTATTGGGAAAACGATCTGTTGTAGTTTATTTGTTCATGAATATTTTGATTAATTTTGGCAAATTTATTTATTTCATCATATACTATTAAAATTTGGTCAGAAAAATCACTTTTCATCATCCTCGTAGCAGCAAACCTTAGTACTTGCTACATCTTATGTTATGTACCTAAGCTATTTGAATAGATACTATTCGACTTGTTTGTGGAAATATTTTCACTTAGTCTGTAGGGTTGCTATGACGGGGGCATTGTTTGCCTCTTTTGATCTGACTCTATTCTGGGTTTCTCTGCCCCTGCTTTGTTCCAATTGCGTTTGTATAGCCTGCATTTTCCCGCACCCTTCTAGTCTTAAACGTATTTCTCTTATTCGTGTGTCTGACTTGTATTTCTTTGTCTCGTGTTTTGATTAACTGTGTATATGACTCACACTGACACTGCTTGTTCCAGATGGCGTTTACCAGCACGCTGCTGCCGCTGGCAGTGCCAGCCCCGGCGTGCCAGGTCTACGCCGCCAGCTCCGGCACCTCGGACTCCGGCGGTGACACGTCAGTCAGCTGCCACTCCGGCAGTACCCGGCCTGGCCCGGCGGCACGCACCCTCACACTCTCCCGTCGTCGTCAGGGCAATCTAGGGTTCAGTCTGCGTGGAGGACGGGAACATGGCACGGGGTTCTTCGTCTCGGCTGTAGAGCGAGGGTCCGAGGCCTACTTGCAGGGGCTGATGGTGAGTGGAGGGGAGGAAGGTTGAATGTAACATATTTGTGAATAATGGAAGTCCAATAATATCCTGTCCAAGTTGACTCTTCTACTGAAATATTACAATAACGCTGTTGTTGGTTTTACACATCATAACAACATTTATAGTCCAAAAATATAAGGAATTTCCCGGGAAAAAATTCCCGGAGTTTTTTTCTCAGTGGTTTCTTATGTATTTTTTGGCACTGAATCCGATTTTAAACTTTGCCAGAGGTGAGCTAACTTCAGAAATTGCAAAACACTTATAAAATACTGTAAATACATTTTGCTGTCAGTTCTCACTCCTTAACTCAAACCCTCCTAGGTAAAAAAATTCTATCAATGATAGTGAAATATCCTAATTTGTTGTGTATAGTGTAGAGTTTACTAGTGCTTCTTGTGCTGGAATAAACATTTCTAATCAGGTAGGCCTGCTATTATAATTAAATCCCTTAAGACTTTGGCCGTTCCGTTTAATGTCACATCCTTGACTTATTGTTAATTAATTGGAAAGTATATTGACATACAAAGTAAATGGCACCACTACTAATTAATTTCCTATTAGTCCTTACAACACAGAATCCAGTAGGCAAGTACTTGTAAAGATGCCAATACAACCATAAAAAGCAAACGTTCACTAAAAGCCTTGATAATCAGTTGCAAACAATAACTTCTCCTTCTGAGAGTGCAACCTTTCCAAACAGCTGTTAGGAAAGGTCAGGGAGGATTGAGTGGTCAGGAGTGTAAGTGATGACCTCGGGTGTTTCAGGTCGGAGATCAAATCATCCGAGTCAACGGTCTACCTGTGGAAGACGCGACACATCGAGAGGTGCTACATCTCATACAGAGTCAGATTAATGTCACGCTGAAAGTCAGATGTAAGTTTATGCCATGAAAGTCTTAAATAATTGCAAAGAGCTTACCACATCCAGTGGCTCAGGAAATAACACCTGCTGCTTGTTTTATCAATGCAGGTGGATTCACTGGTTCCTACCATACATCCAAGAGAAAGAGGTTTGAAAGGTAGCCTTCAAAGTTGGGGAAAGCTCAATGAAAAACAATTATACAGGGTGTTATTTTAAAAACGCAACAAATAGTAAAGATATTGCGAGACACTTTTTAATGACGAACCTAGCTCATATTTTGGAATATCTGTTTTCTTTACTTCATTGCAAGTCAGCTGATATTCATTGTTGCACAGTTATCTATGAGTCATAGTGTTATTGGGAACTTATTATGAAAAAGACACAAACATGGTGTTTTTGTAAACTCAAAGATTATGTTTTGTACATTAAAAGTAAATCATTGGTTTTATGCCAAGAAAGGTTGAAATAAGGTTTCCAGAAGTGATTCCATGACTTAAAAAATTACTTTAAAAAATTAAAAAATACTTTTCATAAAATTAATTGTCTAAAGTTTTAGGAAGCCGGATCAGTAGAGAACAAATCAAACACATAGAGCTTGTGAAAAACCTGTTGAGTCTCATTTACAAGATTTTCTCAATAACACACAAAAGCTTTATAAATATCTATGCAGCAATGAGCAATGCATATTAGCAGATTAACAAGGAGGGATACCAACATGTGAGCTATATTTGTCGTAAAAAATATCTCACATTTAGTCTGGGTAAAAAAAATAATTAACACCCTGTATCCCTCATGAAAGAAAGAAAATCTATTACTAAGAATGTATGGAGTGTATCTTGCACACACCATACTTTTGAAGAGATCTGCCACCTTGGGCAAAAGCTCATCTGGAAACACATCTCTGATGCCTACCCATTTGATCTCATGGTTCCCTACGATACTTAACTGTCTTGTATTTCTATCGCTATAAAACCTCTAGACCAGTAGTCTATATATAGACAATATTTTGAAAGTTTTACCAATGTTTGAAAATACTCTAATAAAATTTTTATTTTTCAGCTGTGGGGATGATTCCTATAAAAGAGTAAGTACTGTAATACTTTAATACTTTTATGCCACACTACGCTGTTTTAAAAAACTTTCCACACAAGGATTTAGTCCAGAAAACAGCTGTTTGCCACCAGCTTAATCAAATGGGTTTCCATTATGTACTACTGTATCGTAATATCTTGAATTCAAGAGGAACAAAATACAAACATTTTTTGAAAATTCTGGGAAGGGGGAAGGAAATGACAGGAGTTTTACAATTGGTTTTGTGGGTTTCATTATGATTCTTTGGCCAAGGAAGTTAAAGGGGGACCATTAAATAATGGATTTGGTAATTTATATAAAGGCCATATTAACAGGGGAATAAAGTTTTGTCTTTTTCGTTGGTACTCAGTAGACATTCCACCTAGAATAGCTACAGTCAATTTTGTTTTCAAATTGCACATGGTCAAATTGACATCTTTCAGAGTGTGCTACTGTTTAAATACCTTTTTCCTCATTTTTTTTTTTTTTTTTTTGTAAATATTTGATTTGACATAACCAGTACTATCGTTCACAGTAAAATTTCTTGGCTTGGTGAAATATTTTGCATGTGCATATGGTTATCAGTAATTTACATCAGCAACCACACTCTCTCGGTAGCTGAACTAAACTACTTAATTGGTTTAAACTGGCATCCTTAAGACGGGAATGTATGTCTACTTCTATTTACACTCAATGGATAGAGTACTTAACATTTATTAGAAAATGCCTTAACAGTTTTCTTTTATTAAATTTAGAATGGGAACTAACTAGTGACATGCTTAGTACTAATGTCATGTTGTCACTCTACAGCAGCAGTCAAGATTCTCTCACCTGGAGGTTGGTAGAGCCAGAACCAGGGGGAGGGGAGGGAGGGGAACCTCCAGATCCTCTCAGAACCTCTTGTCCCACTGCTCACCTCTTCATCAATGTCGCTCCAAAGGCAAAGCTAGGTTGTGGGTAAGTTAAACTATAGATAAAGTATAAACCCTTAGTAGATTTCTCATCCTTATGAAACAGGTGAAGAAAATTTTATTGTTAGTTCTGTTCGGTCAATGTAGAGGTCGCTTTTTGTTTACAATTTGTTTCTTTTTGATCTAGTCATTTAAAACTACCTATCCAAAATAAAACAATCTAATCATAAACAATAACTCGTCCCCTATTTATATAACCAAACAGTAAAACACAACATGAAATTAACCCTAAAATAATAGAAACCAAATTTTGTCGACACTAGCGATCAGTGTCATCGGACATGATTGATCTAGACACAAAAAAGAAGCTTTAAAATTTACAATGGGATTATAAGTCTACTTTATGTTGATTAGTCTATGGTTAAACTGTATTTTTCCATACTACACTTAAGTAAGTACTTAAGTAACAATGAAAGTGTGCAAATTTATCAAGTACCTGTACCAAATTAACACTAAGTCTCTCTTATGAACTACTGTACGTTTTTCTCTTGAAGATGTTAATACTGTAGGCCTACTTTGTTAGAAAAAACAAACACAAAGCTGGATTTAAACAAGGCCCCACTAGAAAACAGGCCATGCTGCAGGATCCATGACGTCACACTAATGGATAGATTTGTTGATAGATTCACTGTAATATCCCAACATTACATATTTTTTAGGTAAATAAGTTGGCTGTTTTTTTCAGATTTTAACGGTAACAATTTAGTACAAATATCCACCACTGTGAGGTAGTGTTGCTCCGCAGCATGGCCTGTTTTTCTAGTGGGGCCTTTATTTTTTAAACCACACCGATAATTATTTCATGTGTTTAAAACAAACAAACTCGCTATTGAAAGAAAATTACCTTAAATAATTATTCATGTACAACCAAGCCGCTTGCTATTCCCTCATGAGGTTCAGAATACTAAACCTGCACAGACACTATTATATTTTATTACTGCAATAAAAATGTGACCAGTTGTCTTTGGATTCTTAGAAAAGCTTTGGCCAGTTCTCAAGTTCAGTGTGAATAAACCAACCTCTATTTTTACCTGGGCAGGGACGGTTAAACTGAATAGTATTTGGTCTAAGGTAGTTGGTTAAGAAATAGTTCACTGCCTGGGATTTCAAGTGAGTTTTCATCAACCCTTTTTAAATATATAAGAAGGCTTTTCACTCATACTTTAGGAAAAGGATATGGAACATGAACTGCAAACATTGTATTTAAGCTTCTCACAACCTGACCAAGTCTCTATGTTACAGCATATGCAAGGGTCCGGAGTGGAAGCCCGGCATCTTTGTCCAGTTCACCAAAGAGAACAGTCTGGCTAGAGGCGCAGGACTGAGGCCAGGAGACCAGATTGTTCAATGTAACAATGTAGTCTTCACACCAGACACTGCCTTTTCAGAGGTGAGATATTGTATAAGGAGTGTATTTGGAAAAAGATAAAATTCAGCTCATCTAACAAAATTTGTCAATGGGCTTATTGATACACAATAAAAGGTCATGGAAGTACTGAGATTACATCCACATCACCAAATCATATTCTTGGCAAGCTACTGTTGCAATAATTTAATTAAAGCTAGCCTTAATGATGGATTGCTAGAACATCTTAAGCGTTGGCTAGTATTTTCGCCAGTCACCAAATCTTCTGTTAGAGACCAAGGTTTGACAAGCTATATCACAGTCTAATTCCCTATGACAGAATATGAGTGATATCACAGAGAAGTAGGGTACAGAGGAAACATCCAATGGAATACTTAAAAGTGGTGTCTAGCACTAGTCGCTGGTGTTTTGGGAAAGTCCAACATTTCCCCTCTCGCTCTCATGTACTACAACACTCAAGGTGGAGAAAGGCCCTGTGGCCCGTGCGATAACCAGCCAGTCAAGTTCTTCCTTGCTTATCACAAGCATATTTCCCCTAAAAGCGAGTACGTACACTCATGCCCAACATACTAGAGCCCCCCCCCCCCCCACCAAGTAAAGGGGGAACTTGACCATAAGCAAGTTTCTTTTTACCTTACTTCTCTGTGGTGTTATGCTATGATACCTTTTATTGTGTATCCATTAGACACCTGGAATATATTTTTCCGTGTTAAGCTGCTGAACTCTAGCCCCTTTCTAATAACTTCTTAATCACCCATTCCACTTTTCTTTCAAATTTAAATGATATGTTTATTTAAGTACAATGATTGACAACAGCTAATCCAGTTTAAAAAAATACAAAAATTACCAACCCCTACTCCATTAATACCAACATAACACGTCATAACCTAAACATGATCTTTAGTAACAAGGATTCGTCATTCTAACTACCTACCTTCTCCTTTTTGTGGAGTTTAAAATATGATATCTGAACTGAAGTATATAATAGACATCTTAACTCTAAAATGTGTGTATTTTGTATACTTTAACACTTAATACTTTAATACTTTTGATTTTGATTGATACGTTGTTCAAATATTTGAGCCTATTACCTAAATTTGACCCTTTCAATTCAGAATACACTTAACTATATTAGTGTTATAGTGTTTTATCGCTACAAATTTGGTTTTCTTATATATAAAGATATAGGGTAACAGAGCGATTATTAGTGAAATTTCCTACAATAAAATAATTTATGTCAATCAGGCGGTGTCCATCCTAAGATGCTCCGGAGTCCTGGAGCTAGTGGTGGTTAAGGGAGCGGGAGTTGACCTGTTCCCGGGGGAGAGTTCGGGATACAACAGCTCCGCATCCAGCCTCGCGGGAGACCAGAGTCCGGACACTTGGCCTCACAAGAGACTCTCCGTAGTCCGGGAGGAATCCCTGTTGGACACTGAGAGGTTAGTACAACTGTTGATTAAAGTTTTTAAACTTTAGGATAAAGACTATGGATTATCCCTTAATAAACCTCAAGAAGTATATGGAGTACTGTACACTAAAATTTTTTTCTATACGGTTTTAATGAACAACAGACTAGTGGCGGATCCAGAGGGGGGGGGGGGGGGTGAATGGGGCAACCGCCCCCCCCCCCCGGGCATATATTTTTTGTACTACATGTAATGTACAAATTTTGCCACGATCGGCGAAGACGATGATAATGCTCCGATACCGCAGGGGTTATTCAGGATTTTAAACCTAAGGTGGTTATTGTTATTTTTTTTTTGGCTTCACTGCTTATCTCGCCCCCCCCCCCCCTCAATCTAAAGCGGGATTCACCACTGCAACAGACTGTGACTAGAGAGGCTAGCTTGTTAATCCAAAATTTAACATTTGCTTTGTGGTCGTTGAATAGGTCTAACACATGGTGGAAGGAAAAAACATAGGTGTGCTATTCCCACATATTCTGACGTCACTCGGATTGCAAACAAAAGATCACCTGATTGTAACTGTCAAATAAATGTACACATTTGACAGTTACAATCAGGTGATCTTTTGTTTGCAATCCAAGTGACGTCAGAATATGTGGGAATAGCACACCTATGTTTTTTTCTTCCACCATGCGTCTAACATGTTTTTAAAAACCAGTTTAATGTTAGTAGAGACTTACATAAAATAGATTTAAGTAAATGAGCGAAATTCTGATAGAACAAAGTTTAATATTATACAATTTAAAGTTTCCACCCATCCCATTAATTTGTACCTAAATTGTACCACAGAGAAGTAATAAACAGAGGATACTTTCAATGGTACACTTTTGGTGTCTAGCTCTAGTAATGGTGTCTAGGGCAATGTCCCGCTCTGACCCCTTGCCCCATGTACTACAACGCTCACGGTGGAGGAAGACCCTGTGCCTTGAGCAGTATGAATTTTTGCACAGTGCTCTCGTTCAGCCTCTTTCTTGCTAGTCACAAGTATATTTCTGCCAAAACATACCAAAACTGGAAGGGCATGTTTGTACTATAACCTTATATCCTCTGTACCTTTCTTTGTGACGGGACTGAGAATGTAGTTACACATTTGTTGTGTCACTATTTTGTAGTAGCATTTTAGAAGCAATATTACTTATGATTTCCATTCCAGTAGATTGTCAGGAGAGAGAAGTAAAGACTCAGACAGACCTGTTCATCCTTCGCAGTTCTCTGTCAAGCCACAAACCACAGGTAATCAAGTTGATGAAAATATTTACACTTTAATTCTTTGCCAAATTTTTACCTTGAGGTTTTTAGATGGTTAATCATCAAAAGCGATCAATAACACCACACAGTGAAACCTCAATAGTCCGGCCCAACTCACTGAATCTGTACAGCTATTTATGAACATTTCATACTACTTCAGTAGGTCAGGAAAGCTCTACAGTAAAATATCCAGTTTTGTTTTTGCTTGCTGGTTTTTAGTGTGTGATCAATGATAGCATTTAATCTAACCACAGACACTTTCAAAATTGTGTTTTCATCTCAAGATAACAATGTCATTGTCGTGGCCATGGACATGGCCATTAAGTAAATTGACGGATTCATAGCCATCATCGCCATTCTCTGTAGACTTTTGCCCTATATTTAAAAAAAATATGTTTTGGGTCAAAAACAGCGAGTTGAATATCGTGGGTCTCTGACACTGGTATGCCTTGCATGAGGTTAGAAAAGTAGCTTCCACACTACTTCTTAAGACCAAAAGCCAATGTGGTTGTATTTGGCCATTCATAGCTTTGCTAACAGACAATGATTCCAGTAGTTGACAAGTTTTGGCAACCATTGCTTAAAGTTAGTTGTACCTCATCAGTTGAGAACATCATGGTGGTCGTCCTATGTGAGTAGGCCTATGTGATAACTACTTTATGGTATTAAATATTTTTGGGCTGGTAAAAAATGTAGAATAAGTTTTAAATATTGCTATTGAAACTTGAAAGTGCTAACTTCAGTTTTTAATGTTTTTCAGATGGTCCTTGTACAGTTATTCGTGTTGGACCAGACACTGAAAATGAGAAAACTCCTTGTACAAAGGTATAGTAATTATTTTTATCCCCTTGTTACGTTATATTGGTATGTTTTAGCATAGAAACACTTTACTGCCTTCCTATCCCTTTCAACTTAATCCTTGATAGCAGAAAGTGCCCTTATTATTGTAATACAATTATTTTTAAATATTTTCATCACTCCCTACAGATTCATTAGCTAATTTCAATACCAGCTGATTTCATTTCATATACCGATTATTTACTTCAACGGTGAATTGCCAATTCAAACAGGTACAATTCAAAATTGATAACAAATAAAGTAATTGTTTCCCAAGATATTATTTAGATTACAGCAAGGGATTTCTTGCTCTCAGATCTCCATTTGCTCACTTTGTTTGTTTACTTATTTGTTTTCTCTATATTGTTGAAATCAGCTGTTTTTATCCTCAAACAATATAAATGTGAACAGAAATATGCATGAACTAGTTTTGCTGTGTTTTTAGCTTAAAGTCCATGTTTGTTAATTGCCCAATACATAACCTTGATCTTGAACTTATGATTTTCCTTTTGTTATATGTAGGTTTCCCTTTCATATATACTCTTTGCCCTTATTTTTATTTTAGAATAGTGTTTATTAGGAAATATGATAGCTCTAATTTTACTAAGGCCTGTTATTCAGTATGTGAGTATTTTTTCGTTGTGATCATTCATAGCTTGTGCCAAAAGTGATTTTCTGGATGCAATTAATTATTCCGACCCTCAGCTTTGCCTTGTATTTGGAAATAACATTGATAAAAATAAATAAGCTAATTACATAATATTTGACCTGACATGTTCAGCTTCGCCTTGCATTTGAAATTTGAACATGACATTTTCAGTACCGGTATGCTACTAGTGAAATGAAATAATGCTGAACGTGTTAATCAAATCATAATAAACTTTATTTTACAAAATTATTTCAATTGTCTAAATTCCTAAAAAAATGTGAGTTGAACTCACACTCATCGCTGTCATAGCATCAATACGTTTTCATCGTGGGTTTTATGTAAATTTTTCTAATATGTTCATCTTTTCACCTTCCATATTTCCCAATGCAGGAACTAAGGATGCAAAATGATTGACAAGCTACATATATCGTAAATTCAGCGGTTGTCTGTCTAATGACTCGACAATGAGTCGTTTGACTGTAGATTGACAACCACTATCAACAATTGATTTTAAATCATAAAAATTATGCTTTCTACCGGTAGGCCTACTTAAACTAATTTTGTGTTTGATTACAACAGTTAGCAGAGATCTGCATGGTTTCGCAGCAATTAGAAACAAAGACAACGACGGTGCTTGTAGAAGTACATCAGAGCGGGGATGAAGAAACCACAAACAACCAGGTAAATAGTTGGTCTAATCTAGTGTATTTTTTAGGTTACTCTAACATTCAGTTTGTAGAACTTCCTGCATGTGCCAGTTGGAAAAATAGTTGTCACCAGTGGTGTGGAGGGGCTTGAACTTGTGGGAACGATGTTTCCTGCTTTTACCAAAGAACCTATCACTTCTCTGGAAGTTACCCCTTTTATTTTGCAACAATGGTAAGCATTCTTGGTCTAAAAAATTTACAACTACAGCACTGGTTTTCATTAGTTCTGTAGGACTACATGTCAACTGAGCAGTGCGTACCTGAGCCAACAGTTAGTTGAATACGGTATTTATTTTTAAATGTATTGTCTAAAATGTTTGTGTGTGCAAGTTTAATATTTTGACTACCTAAATATGAGTGAAGATTGATGTTTTTGACAAGGATTTTAACACTAATACCGAAACCCTACCAAGGCTGACGCTAACTGAAACCCCCAGTCTGTGAGACCCCATTTGAAAATAATGGACCCCGCTTAGAAACACACAAACCGAAACCCTGGGCCTGTGAGACCCCCCTTTCAAATACACTAACGCTGGGCTTCTGAGACGTGCATGTTATGAACAGACAACCCTTTCAAGGTCACAGCACCCATGCAAAATGAATAAGCAATATATCAGCAAGCAGGGGAGGATAATGGGGGAAGGTATTGGGGGAATGGAATTTCTCAAAGTAAACAGTGTTGCCAACATGTGTTTGTGAAAATTCCCGTGGGCCTGTCAGACCTGAGTATTGGTATAAGTGTTAAGATGACATAGTCTTTCACTGAAACGATCGTTATCCACCTTTATAGGAGGTATAAGAATCATAAGAAATCAAGGTGAACTAACCTTTCATTAAAAACATTCGAGCTACTACTTCCAAATTCAACCTATGACTGATGTAATTTTAAAGATTGACATTCTGTTACAGAGTGACAGTAGTCTGTGCCAGTTGACCAACAGTTCATCTGTCAGTTCCTTCTCTAGCAACGCCAGTGCTGGGGCCAACAGTCTCTGCAGCGCCATCAGTCAGGAGCTGCAGAGGAGATCTGAGGTTAGTTCTGTATTTTCATGTAACAGTGTTTTATGTATGGGTTTTCTGGTGGGAGATCCACTTAGGATGATTACAATACATGATGAGTTGACTTTTTGTTTTAGCTCTATCAAGCATGAATAATTAAAGTTTAATATTGCTGTGTAAACCCTACATCAGACCAAGAAGTTTTCAGCTCCTTGTCAAACAAAGGTGTCCCAAAACCCCCTCTTTCCTGGACCAACCCCCCAGTAAGTTGTAATGGGTCAAAATTATAGAGGGGTTAAGTTTTTGTATTTATTATTTAATTATCAGTAGGCCTATTCCTTACCTGGTTGGTGATAGTGGTAAACCTATCATGGTAAGGTAAATAGGCTGTTTTAGGCCTATCCTAGGGTTGAAGTAGGGATAACCTCACTTTTGGCAAATCACTAAAGACACTATTGTTGAGATTCACAAGTCACAGTATAGCATCGCTGTGTACAAAACGAGTGATAAACCGTTTCCGGGTAACCCCCATACCTAATATACACCTTTGGGAAGTACGGTCAAAGTTGTGTTGTTTAGGCTAGGGTGGCGAACCGCGATCACAAATACAATGTCGCGTACATAACATGCATACACTTTGTCGCACACTAAGCTACACGTCACGGGTGGAAATTATACTTTTTGTTTAAACCAGCGATGATATTAAAGTTCTGCCGTATAATTTCACAGTCGGCGCAGGTGAATAACAACATTAACAACATAACCTGTACTACTAGTCGACTGTCTTGGCATTGTGTTGAGACAGCGCCAAGTTTGAACTCGTGACGTCACCGATCAGCTGGTAATTGAATCAGCTGATTCCCCATCCCTAGAGGATTAGGGTGGGGGAAGTAGTGGAGATCCCTTGTGGGCTAGGGATGCGACGACATTCTAATTCTGCGATTTACAGTGTTAGGACGTGTCTTGCTTTGAAACGATTAGTGATTTTGCTAAACGTGTGCTTAGTGTGTTTTAGTGAAGATCTCTGGAGTATACAGGTAATTCACCGATTTTCTTAGTAGGGTTTATTATTAGTCAAGGCATTCATTTATAGCAATTAACCCTCATTTTATTCTTTTAGACATAAAACACACGGTAGGGTCTTTGACGGGTGTTCGAACCTGTATAAGTCCGCTTTAGCGTATGCTAGGGCACCCATGGGTGGCGATAAAGATTCAATACGTATAAATACATCGTTTAATATTGTGTTTACAATATCGATTGAGGGTGACGGGGTTTTAGCGAATATTCTGCCGGGATATTCAGTTGGTGTTGAACTGCTGCGACAAAGCGGGCAAAGTTGAACCCGTCTCTGCAGGTCGTGCAAACACAAGGTTGGCTAAGTAATATTCTGAAGTGTTGAGGTTGACGAAACTGCAACATTAATTTCCCACATAGCACAGAATATTTATTTGATATCAAATAAACGTTCAATATATCAAACTATGTCAAATCAAAAATTTGATATTTATTTGATATTCATTTAATGTTCAAAATGTCAAAGTCAAACAATGTCAAACTTTGAATATTTATTGTATCTTCAAAATATCAAAGTCAAATAACATCAAATTTAGAATATTATCTAAATATTCTTAATGTTAAAAATTTGATTTTCTCTTTGAAAATTTCCAAATATACTAGTTTTAAAAAGTTTTAGATTTAACTTTTTAAATTTTTTAGAGTAAAGAATTAGTCCCCAGCCTACAGTTTGTAACATGGAGGTCGGAGGTCAATTATCTCAAAATAATTAATAATAGGAAGGAACACTGAACACTGTAATTTTTAATTAATTGATGATGGATTTTGACTTTTCGCGGGGGGGGGGGGAGTTGTTGGAACATCTGATATTTTTCTGAATCTAGGCTTACTACACATTTCAAGAAGAGTTAAAGGAAACACAGCTTTTTTAAAAGTTTTGTTTATTAATAAAAAAGTCAAACTCTTAACGATTGGCCTTATCATTTTATTTTTACTAGTAAATTAAACCAAACGTAAATTTAAATTTTTTTAAGTGTAATATAACTCTAAAAATATGTTAAGTATCTAGTTTGAGCTTGACTTGGCCCATTCGTATGAAAGGAAGAGAGGAAGACTGAAGACAAAACACCAACTTAATTCTAACCTAACTCAGCAAACAAAACGAAACATTACAATTACAATACAAAACAAATTACAAAATCCGTCGCACGACCAGTGGTGGCCAGTTTACTCACGGTGTGGATTTATTTATTTATTAACCAACAAATTGCCCATTTTGAGGGAAAGTACACGATTTATGTAAAATGTACCTATGACAACTAACTTGTTGAGTAGGCTACACAAGTAGTGAAAATAAACTATGGAAGCAACAAGTGTATCAAGATTCAAGAACAAGACATAACCTCAAATCAGTTAACTTAAGTGTGCTGATATTTTGTTTAGTGTGTGTCACTGTTAGTTTAGAGTTGTTATTTTTGTGACTGGGTATTGGCATAACCTACACCGAACATCTTTTCACGTTTTGATCCTTGGAGTCTTGGAGTATGTAAGTATAAGTCACTATACCTAGTAACATAGACGTATTTTAGGCCTTGGCCTTACCTAGACCTAAGTTAAGCTACTGTACAAATTAAATTGGCCAACTTATCATTCCTAATGCCTTGTATAAATAGATAAATCTGAAACCTCAAAATAGGCAATCTGTTTTAGAGGAAGTATTTTTCTGCATACTAATTAGGCCTAGGCGTAAGCTACTAAGTTAGGCAGCTTGCTTAGTTCTTACTGAACCAGTAGTTTATTTAGCTTCAAAGGGCAACTTCCGGATGAAAATAGTGTTCAATATATAGGCTAGTAAGTAGGACTAACTTACTGGTTTACAAGGCAAATGGAATACCATACTGTTTTGTAATACCTTGTTAGGCTAATTTTGAAATATTACTAAGTTATGTGGGTTATATTTTACGTCAGTCACTAACGTTTATGTAAATTCACCATCAAGAATAAGTTAACTTAATTTAGGCTAGCCTAGGCCTAACATATTCTACCTCAACCAGGTTACAATTTACCGGTATTATAAAAGAAATAGCCTAGCCTATTTGAAATCCATTTTCCTTTATAACTGAATTGGGGTACACTTCCGTATCTGTTGTCAAAAACAACAGAATGAACATAGGCTATAACGATCGATATTTTAATTTGGTTGTTTTTGACAACAGATACGAAAGTCTACCCCTGTATTGTCTCTTAGTCTTTTGTATTTTAGTTGTTGTCTGCTTCCTTTACCAACCAATGATTAGGCCTAACTAATCTTGATACATATTTAGGCCAGAGAAAGGTATGCATGAATTTAACTAAAAGTAGTTTTCTCTCCATTGTTTCAGTTGATAACTCTGCAGCTTTGGTGGAAGTTATTATTTGGTAGCAGTGAATAATTTGCCTACGGTACCAATTCTCCCGAGTGACAAAGTGGCTGTCTAGCAGCCTGTAGGCTGGGAAGGAGGAATAAATTTTTCTTTTGCAATCTGCATCTGAAGCCAGCTATCTTGCGTAAGTTTTTTTTTTATTTACAATCAGACATTAATAATAGGTAGACACACATATATTTTAATTACGTTTTCTCAAAGTTAAAATAAGTTAAAATAAAGTTTCAATCTTAGGTGTTTTTAGTTCAATTTTTCTGTTTGATTCGCCATGACTGTGTATGTCTTTTTTGCCATAACGGGTACAGTTCCGCAGAGAACCTGCGATATATTATCGGATGAATAACATTATATATCAATAATTATCCGATTCAATACATCGTTCCCTATGTTTTTTCACTATGTAAACATCAAATTGAGTTATGATTTGCAGATTTGGTGAATTGGTTTTGCAATATTAATATAAAATCAGATATATATACCGTCCGATAATATATCGCAGGTTCTCTTAGGAACTGTAGATAAGTTAGGCTCTACCACCAAAACACAACCTAATTCATGATAGGTACCTATTGGGTAATAACGTAGCCTAAGGTTCATCACACAGTTAAGAGAGTTTCTCTTTTTTGTGACCCACTTATATAGGAAGTCTTTGATTTACACTATATAAATATTCCGGCAGTGCTAACTTGTGTAAAAGAAAACTGTATTAGTTGAATTTTTTTAAACGCACACATAGGCCTATACACACACCAAACTACATCCGACCGTTGCACTCATTTCAGTCAGTGCTCACCCCAATATTTGTCCGTTCAAGTGACTGAGGATTACTTTTACCACTACCTAGGTCAAAATTTTCAATTTTCAGATTTAGATTTAGCTTTAACAAGGCTACTCAAAAGAAGCAAATGCCATCAAAATATAAAATAGATTTCACTAACAATTTAATATGTGTACCTAGTTGTAGGCTATCCTGGGTGTTGATCATGAAAATTAAAATATATACAAATTCTAGTGCTAATACTAATCTCTTTTATACAGAGGCAGAACCGGTACGCAAGAACACTAGGATCGTGGTGTAATGGAAATATATGTTGTTGCTACTATAATCAAGAATTGGCTTCGCCCAGCAAAGTTTAGGATTGATGCAAGGTAAATTTATTGTGTTATTTATAATTTAGGTTAAAGAAAAGATTGCTTATCTAATTACCTAATATAGAACTTACATTTTATTATAATTAACAGATTAGGCCGACATCTAACTACTGTGATGTTTTCTTTTCAAATTGTGAATTTTCAGTGACAGGCTATGCAAATGAGCAAAACTTAATCTGCGGTTTTATCCATCTCTTTTTTCTTTATTGTCAAGAACTCAATGCCTTATCGACAAATTTAATTATAAAGTACAGGTATAGTAAAAAAATAGGTCTTAAAAATGCCTAACGAAGGGGTCTCCAACCTACAGCCTGTGGGCTACATCCGGCCCTCGTGCAGTTTTATTCCAGCCAGCAGAAAGCCAGCATACGTTTTTGAAAATTATTATTTTTTATAGCAAACACCAATTATATTCTCCCACGATTGCGTAAACACGTGTGGTCAGGTGGTCTCAGCTATATCGTGATCATCTCCCGTGATCTCGCCAAGACTCACGAGCATATTATACTGCAGTCTCGACGGTGCCGTGATTGTCTTTTGCAATCCCAGCAACACCCTTCATTGTTGACCGTGATTTCCTTGAGGTGTAAAAAGAGAACTTTGTCAATGAATGCAGGCTCAGCCATGGGATATTTATTTACCTCGCGGCTCATACCATAATTAAGAGCAATTAACTGTCTCTTCCCCATTCAACAAAATTTGTGTACAATACCCTGTCTCCAAGTTGGCAGGTTAACGTATTTAAATAGGAACATAGTAAATGTCTCTCACTTGCTAATTTTTTCTCAATAGGCCTAGGGGAATATTAGTAGTAGTCAAGTAGCGGCAGATTAATTTAAATATATATATTTTTAATTGATCCTAATTGGCAGAACTACAAATTGAAATCTTAAACTAGCTGACATTTTAAGTGTCAAATTTTATAGCCTATTCTCACTAAAAAATCATTGAACTTTTTGTCAAAGATTTAGCTTAGAATGTGATTGCTTCTTAATTGCACATCTTTCGTTAGAATTAGGGGCATTTATAATTTTATTTTATGAACAGAACTATATTTTAGATTATTAAAAAAGGAAACTATGTAGTTTATTTGTTTATGGATAGATTTTGATAAAATTTGGCAAACTTATTTACTTTATCCTATACTATTGACGTATGCTCAAAAAAACTTTTTACCTTCTCCATGGCTGCAAACCTAACCTTGTTAAATCTAATCTTCATTCAATTTTTATCTTGTATATTTTTTTATATCATCAGCAAGTTAGGTTAGCTTATGACAGTTTAATTTTATAATAGAATGCTCTCATTTTGTCCGTAGTAAACCTTAATTCAATTTTTTCACAATCAACAAGTTTGGTTAATTTGGTTAGGTTACAACATTTTAATTTTATAATAGAATGCTCTCATTTCGTCCGTATCACAAAAAGCCTTTACCTTGTGACAAACGACAACTACAACCGCATCGATAGTAGATGATGTTGTGATTCGATAGAGTAGCGAACAATTAACGTTAGTCGCTAAATCGGTGGCGTTTTTAGACAAAAAAGTGCTCACCGAGGAAAAAGGGTTGGAGACCCCTTGTCTAACATATTATATTTTATCTATAGCTGTCTTAGAAAATAACTCTGTTAAACCTCTTTTACAGGAACAATAGAAAACTCAAGAAGGCCATTTGGGAGATGAAGAAGACCAGAATTATTTTTTTTGTAAATTGTACATATCTTTTTTATATTTGTGTTTAAATAATTTTTAATTAAACTTATTTTATCATACAAACAAAGTTTTTTCTTTAAAATGTTTTCCTTGAATGCAATTTTGTTTTAAACAAATATGTTTTGTGATACTTTTGTTAATGTTTTGTCAAATAAGAAATATATATATATATTTACATTTTTGGGTCACCCAAGAACTTTAACAAACTACCTATAACTTCAGAATAATAAGTCAAATCAAGGTAAGAACAGTAAAGAAGTCTGAACTGATATTATTTTAATCGCCATGAAATTTGAAATGTGAAAAAATGCAACCTAATTCTTCTAAACATATTTTACCAATAAATGTATGAGACATTTATTTGATATTCAATTTAATATTTATTTAATGTCAAATTAAGTGAGGTTGGACCTAAATTGACCATTTATTTGATATCAAATGAATGTTCGCGAATATTAATTTAATATTCGAATGTCAAAAATCTTATATCAATATTTATCACCATCATATTTAAAATGTGAATGTAAATTCAATCATATTCTCTTTATTATAGTTTACCAATAAATTTATGAATGTCAAATTTGATATTTATTTTATATTCAATTTGAATATTTATTTGATGTAAAATTGAGTGACGTTTGAACCTAAATTGAACGTTTATTTGATATCAAACGAATGTTCGTGAATATCAATTTGATATTCAAATGTCAAAAATTTGATAGCTATTTGATATCAAATAAATATCTGGTGCTATGTGGGTTGTTACAACATTTCGTTGAACGTTTTTTTTCATTATTTTTGAATTTAATTTAATTAGCTATTTCCAGGTGTTACATGATGGTACAGTAGCGTTGTTGGTTACCGGTACTGAGTTCACACCTGATTCACACTACATTTTTGCGTAAATACAAATCTGTACCTGTGCTAGGTTGTTGAGTTAATTAAATAAATTATTTTTATCTGAACCCTGGAAACTTCCCAGCACGCCGATTTGAGCGATCCGCTGGCGAGAGTTGGTGACGTCTTTCCCGCTATTATAACTGCGGAATAGCGTATATATTCCGAGCGGGAAAAACGGCACGTTACAAAGTATGGGTCTGGGTGCAAGTACTTTTTTACTTCGGGTCTAAAAGATTTAGTGACTGTGAAAATGGTGACTGTCTAAATCGGCTCGGACCAAAATCGGATAGCTTTGGATTTCTTAAAATAATTATTACTATAAACCACAATGGGTATACAATAAATTGCAGACGATCGTGTTGATATTGTTTTGTCAAGCGTAAATTTAGTTTCCTGCCTGCTTTTTTATTTTTGAAACAAAACTGTCAATATTTTCCTCTTCCTCCTGTCTCAGCTGGAAAAAACGTATATCTCTTAAAACAACATTTGAGTGTGGTTTAAAATGATCGACAAAAGCTTTTATCACATTATCATAGGACTCATCATTTGAGCAAATTAAATGTTTCCACTGCATTCACCACCAATGTTAAGAAAAAGAGCCTTTTTTACGTCTGACTGCTCTTCATTAACAGAGGCTATGAAGAAAATTTCTAATTCTTGTTTGAATTGACACCATTGTGTACTATCACAATCATTATTTAACTTACCAGTTAGCCGATATTCCATTTTGTTTTTGATTGTGCAATCTTAATAGACGCTGTTTGCTATTGCAAGAATAAAAAGCTTGCATTCACGAACATGGAGCAGCTTGCACACCACTATTATAAATGACCCGATGCGAGTTTGACCCAAAAATTGTTTTTGGTCCGAGTCAATCTCTTAGTGCCAATCGCAACCCAATCATTTTTTCCGACAGTACCTTTGCTGCAATCTTTTTCCTAAGCCTGTGTCCTTCCTATAGTTACAGCACAAATAACCTGTTTAGTTCATTATAAGTGTAAAACCTTGAGGTCTCCAAAGGCGCAGCCATATACAGTTGCAGGTGTATCGCTAATCGAGTGGTTATTATCTTGGGGTGCAGTAAGGATGGTTTTGATCCCTAGAATATTCTCAAAAGCATTTTAGAGGTTTGTACCTTTTTCCAGAGTAGCTTAGAAGTGTTTAAAATCATTTCTTAGAAAATTCTAGAAGGTTAAAGGGACTTCCTCCTTTTCTCTCCAATAATTCCATTTAAAAATGCAACTAAAAGTTGTTTTGGAATAACATAATTGTGTCATTTTTTTATTTTACAGAAACGCGCTAAAGAGGGTCCCAGTGATCTAAGGCCACCCAAAGTTGATCTTCACAAATGCGGGATGGACAAAGAAAAGGTTGAACAGCACCAACAGCTGATGGAAGAGTTTAGAAGAGCTCATAAGAAGATGTTCGCTCACACACTTGGCGAGGAAAATAAGACTGAACCCAACCGGACTTGTGCCCTTTCTTCGAAAGAGGTGAGTGAAGTCAACTGTTTTTTAATCAGAAAAGATTGAGGTTCATACGTTCTAGAACAATAGTCTATTTGTGTCCAGTTTGACATCTGGTCCTGAAGTTGCCTTACATAAGCATTCTCAGGGCCGGATTTCCAAATAGAGAGAGGCCCTCCCCTATGGGCGCAAGCGCCCAGGGGGCGCACGTCGAAGGGGAATTTTTTTTTTAATGTCTACAAATAAAAATGAACAGCGATAACTTAACATATTTTGTAAATAGATTTTGAAACAAATCTGGCTGATAAAGCATTCTAATTTTGAAGTCCATTAGAAGAATTAATTGTTGGTAAAGTTGACTATTTTACAACATTACGCATCAAATTCGTTACGAAGGCTGTTGGGATGTTGTCGAGCGGTAGGGCCCATACATTGTATTGTCACTGCCACTATGCTGGCTCGGCGCTACTGCTCTGAGTGATTAGGGGCGTAAGCGCGTGCCAATGTTATTGTCTAAACACTGTGACCACTCTCTCTCACCAGGCAAAACAAAAGTTACTATCCAAATTTTTGATTAGCTTACAACAACCTGCATGGTCAAGTTAAAATATATAATTCAATAACCTAGGACTTTTTTCTATGTGTTTAACTACTTTAAGACTATCTCTTTAAAATTAAGGACACATTACTAATCTGAGTTTGCCATAGGAAAAAAATCCTGATCATTCTCGTCAGTCCTAGACCATCTTTTAGCAAAAATAAACTCAGGAATTTATTACCTTTAAAAGATTGTAGGCTATTATCTTTGTAATTCAAAAGTTCTAAAAAATGTTTTTCATGCCCACGTGCACTCCCATATATCTTAAGGAGTTTGTGTGTATGAAGGTACAACCAAACAAAACCTTTGTGAAATTTTAATTAGTCAAAAAGGTGCTATAAGAGCCATGTTAAATCTTGAGTTTGATGAATCGGTAAGGGAGCATTTTACTAACCAAAATATGTTAACCGTCTATAGTTTGTATATCCTTGAGTGTATTATGCATGTCAGGAAAAATAAAGCCAATTTTACAACACATGAAGATATACATAAATACAACACCAGAAAAAAAAAAAACATAGTCTTACCTTTTCACAATTCTGAGCTATATAAAAAGATACCCCCGCCGCAGCAAACCTGCAGACTAAGCGAATTTCCATTTGACTGATTTGATTTACACTGAAATGTCTACTTAAAAATATAACATTTATTCCCAATTTAAATAGAATTAGTTTAACAAGTACTTAGGTTTGCTGCATCAGGGAGGGTAAAACAGTTTTTTTTTTGTAAAATGTTAATAGCTAGTAAGAAATAAAAACGTTTCCAAATTTGATCAAAATATGTTCATAAACAAGCAAACTACAACAGTTTACTTATTCTCCATAAGAATAACATGGGAATTTTAAATTTAAAATTTTTTTGAATTTTCTCCGTAACCATTAGGCGCATAATAACGCTTCAATATACTAAATTATTTGTTTTTTAAGCTCTACAAAATGGTTTGGAAAGAAATTCCTAAATTTTATGTTTTTTGGGTCAAAAATGGGAAAAACCTATTTTTACCCCATAAAACCCCCCGTAAACCCCCGTTACCATGGTCCGATCATGCTGGATCGCGAACTCGTTCGAATAAACGTAGGTTTACACGTTTGTACCAAATTTCATCAAAATCAGATCATTTTTGCTCAAGTTATCGTGCTAACGGACACATATATATATATATATATAAATATATATATAAATATATATATAAATATATATATAAATATATATATAAATATATATATAAATATATATATAAATATATATATAAATATATATATATATATGAATTTGAACGGATGGTGTTTTTGGCCTCTAGGGACCTCAAAACGAAAAAAAAAATCGGTCCCGCGTCCAGGTCTTACCATGAGTACTACGGTAATAGCTTATTCCCTATATGGGAAATTCGCTAAAAGAAACCATCCTATGCCGGTTCTGTATTCTTAAAACATATCCCAAACGAAATATTGAGCATAGAAAATCAAAAATTCAAAAGCGAACTCAAAAGTTTTTTGATCAGAAATGCATTTTACTCTCTTGAAGAGTTGTACGATTTAATCTATGTGAATGCTGATGCTACATAACTGTAAATTTCATAACTGAGCAAATCAATGTAATGTACTGAGTTAGATTAAGGAACTGTGACGCTATTAGTATTGCTGTACATGAAACAAATACAGAAGTTTTGAATTTGAATCATTATTATATCATAGAAAAGTAAGAATACAATTGAAAATCCACACAATTTTGGTTATACAAACATCAAGTCCACATTTATTTTTCACATGTATCAGAGATAAATGACATCACATATAGGATATTATATTTTTAGCAACTTTATTTTGCCTTCCAGTACTGATTGTGTATGCATTGAAGCTGAAGATGGCATTGATACTAAAAAAATAATATGGGGTGGGACTGTAGGAAAATATTTGTGCATTCGTCTAAAATCTAAAAAAACACTTTATCCTGGCTCTAGGATTTTTACTCTATGACCCTGCTTGAGGAAATGTTAAAAATCGTTAAAATTATGGCATGGGCAGCTGAGTTTGCCTATTCATAAGAAGGCTGTCAGCTGCGTAGAAAATTTAGTTGCTTTTTGATGGTTCTAATCTGGACTCAGCTACCAATGGTCATTTGGCTTTTATCAAGCTAAAGAAAACTGCTGGTTTTAGTCAGCAATAAAGCTGCACAGATTGTTTTACTAAATTCTTAGCTCTGAATTTATATAGCTCATACTATCCATTTAATTTGTTTTCACCACATTATCATGTTTTTGGCTGTATTACATACGTTAATTGGTGGCCGAAAGTTACGTTTTGCTGGCGATGCCAGCTGTCCATAATTTGGGGACCGAGCAGGTTTTTACAGGCCGGGGCCGCAAAATCAGCTGTCCGCTTACTTACTTAAAACATGAATGCATTTTAAATACATAATCAAAATCCATAGCATTTCAATAGAATTGTGTTATTGTCACCGTTGCCTAGCAACTATATATTTTTATTTTTGCTGATTCCTCAAATTATTTCTTCACATAACCTTAAAGTTGTAGTTGTGTTGACTATCAGTGTGCATTATTATTGTGGTGAATAGTGGTAATAGGGTATAGTGTGGTGAAAAATAGCGTTCGTACCACGGACCGAAATGGTTTTGCGGCTCTCGATCGATTTAAGTTCTCGACTTCGTCTCGAACTTAAAAACTATCTCGAGCCGGCAAAACCTAATTTTCGGCCCTAGGTACGAAATATACTATTGTGTCACCACCATAAAGGACTTCAACAACCTCAACAGCATGTTTGCATTATTGTTTTCTAGTAAACAGCTTTTCCAAAAGCAATTATTTAGGCTGAGAGATTAATTAAATGTTTAAAGAACCGAAGGTTTAATGTTTGTAGGTAAATAGTACAAGGGCAGTATTCTCTCAGTTAATCAGTGGGAACACTAACTCATTGTTTGAAGTATTGCTCCACAATAGACAGTTGTAGAGAACTGGTTGAGTGTGATTTGGGAACTGTTCATTCAATTAAAGTTACTCTAGTGTCTTGTTAACTAGATTATTCAAAATTCAATTTTCAAATACTTTCTTTCTTCTGATTTCAATATTAGTCAACAGACACTTTTGTGGAAAATTTGTAGCTAAAAAGAAATATTTATACAGTTGGGTTTATTTATTTATGAACATTATTTTCTAACAAGGCTAGACTGTTTTGATAATTACGTTAACATCTCAGTAGTAAATGTATGTAGTAAATCACCAGTTACATTCAATAAATTTTATTTTTATTCAACACCCTATAAAACAGAACAAATAATTGTTGCTGTATAAAAAGATAATTGTAAAATCTCCGTTTTAAGAGTAATATAAATTTTTTTACGTTTAAAATATTTAATTTTAAAAAAAGGAAAACCTCCAAGTTAAAGAGTGGAATCTTCATGTTAAAATTTGAACTCTCTACATTTAAGTGAAAAATCTTTATGTTAAACCTGTGGTTCACCAGTAAGTCTTTACCTCACAACAAACAACTACCTGAGATTATTACTTAACTCATTTTAGAGTTTAAGACAATTTAGAAGATGTAAACAAGTCTATTTGTGTGACAATTGGAGAAAAGCTGTGAGAGAGGGAGAGAGTGAGAGGGATAGAGAGAGAGGGAGTACTCAGTACTTCCACTAAGCTCTCACATTTCCCAGCCTCCAGTAGTATTACATGGTCCCCCGCTGGTCTATTGTGTTGTTTGGTGGTTAGTTGTGGTCGTGTCAGCGACAATTCACCATGCATTTGACTACAACCTCCAAACCTTCCTTTACCCTTCAGACATATCAGGTAGGCTTATCATTCACACTGATAACATGGTGTGGCTTTAACTGTTACTATTTTGATCTCTCTAGTCTCTAGTTGATATTAAATTATTATTTGTAGGCCTATTGTATGTAATATATTGAATCAAAATGGTACTTAAATGTTAAATACAAAAACATAAATAATAAACATTTGGTAACTTTAAAATTAAAAACCCCCGTAAATAAGATCTTAATATCTACAAAAACTAATGGAAAGTCTAGAAAATTCACAGAAACCATTGTTATTCGTATTAACCAATTATTCGTATTAATATTATATTACTTAATCAAACTTAAAGCTCAATAGAAACCTTGTAAAAATCCATGAAGACATTTGATTTTGAACAAAAGTGCCAGAATCAAATTTGTATGCTTTTTAAAAATATTAGGTTATATTTATTTAAAGATTTGTTATTGTTAAATATTCATTGGATTGCCAATGGTGTAATGCCTTGAGTTATAACTTGCATACTAATAATACATTTATAAAAAAACATAAAAAATACAGTCACAGAACATCACATGAAGAGGCCGAAAGATTTCCAAAAGCTTTCCAGAATTACTACCACCGCAGGCATAAGGGGATTCTGCTATTTGATTTCATATC